ATTTACAAATGTGTATGTTAACTACACTGGAATATCTACTTTCACCCTCCCATACAATAGAATTGATCTAACTACGGCTCAGAAATTAAGCACAGATGCACAAATCACTGTATTTACAAAAACAACATGCATCTTGGCGGCAGCTCTTATATAGGTCTTGCGGCACTTTGCTGTCTATGTAGAGAAAAAGGAAGAGAAAGAAAACACGAACCTCCTGCAGAATTTCATCTCGGTTGGTTATTTTTAATGACTAATTCACCTTGGCTACATTCAAAGTAAAATACCCTGTTATTAGTTTTTGTTGTCTCTTATCCCATTTAGCCATTATGGGCAGTTCATAGGACAATTACTATGGAGCTGAAACTAACAGGAGCCAGTTCTATTGTTTCTAACTCTTGAGTCGAAAGCTATTCTATTCTGTTTCTCAACCTAGCCCAGCAGTTCTCCAGGGTCTTGGAGAGAAGCCTCTCACAGCACTTGCTATTCTGGAGATAGCAGGGACTGAATTAGAGACCTTCTGCATGCAAAGAATGAGGATTCCATACTCCCATTTTGATCCTAATTTATGATATTTTCTGCATAACACAGTAAACCCGGCTCAAGGAGCACTCCAGTTGTCCACCATCACTGAAGAAGTAGCAGGTGGCTGGAGTGGAGACCATCTTTTCAGGCCTATCAAACATGCATTCCTACTCAGAAAACAAAGATTTTGCCTCTATCTGCTATGCCTTTGAAAATCCAAGGAATTAATATTGCAGTGTGGTCCAGCAGGCCAAGGGCTACAAAATGAGACTCACAAAGAAGAGGACTGCCACAGGCTGGGGTCTCACTGTAGAATACAGAAGCCTATAATTACCTTGCCAGCAACTTGCATTCTTTTTTCAATCAAGAGTCGTATTTTGAACTGATCAAGGGCTTGGGGGTGGACAAGCTCCACCCACCAACTCACCTCCTACAAAGCATATGCACCAGCAAACGGCACCAAGTTCTTTCTGCCCAGGAGGAACAGTAACAGATGCTTTGGCACAGTTCTTCCTATATGCACCTCCGTTCTGACTTATACACACAGGACAAATTTAGGTTGCTTTTAAAGGCCATAGAAATCAAGGTGTTAGAGAGTTCTAACTATATCTCCGTTTTGGAGAAAAGTAGTGAGATGCATAATACTGAATGGGAAGGGAAACTTGTCCTCAAGCTCAGGGGTTACACGCTGTGGGTGGATTTCATCCCTAGTACATGCAAATACATCATTTTGCAGCATATATGTAGCTGCTTCTGCTAAAGCTTCACAATTTGTTATCTGGAGCTTCAGGTTCTGCTCGTCTCCATGGAGACTGATGTAAGCTCAGCAAAGTCACTAAGTGCTTCAAAAATAATTTCAGTTCATTTGAGATGTGTATGCATGTAACATGTTTTTTGGGGGGTGATCAAATGGCATTCCAACGGTGTTGTTTCAGGCACTGCTGTTAAGAATATTTTCATCTGACATTTCAGGGCTAGCACACATTAAAAGAGTTTCCCCACTCGTAACCTTGGCCAGAAGGAATTTTTAGAATATGTTTTACGACTTATATGCACTCTAAATTTAAGCATAAAAAATTTAAACCATATTACTACCATATACAGTAGATCCCAGGCAATTAATTGTAGCAATTAATTAGACCACACACTTTATCTCTCATTCTCTCCCATTTTTCTTAAGCTAACGGCCAGTTCCCATTGGATAGCTTCCTTTACCTCCAATAATCCTCTCCCCCAAAAAAGTTACAGGTATGTCACTCTTATTCCACTTGGTTGCAGATCTAAGCATCCCCACACTTTGCTGCTGTATGTTGGCACCACCAATTTGTCAAGCAACTAAATAATAATCATTACATTTGTAAAAAGTATTTCTTAAAAAAACACCTGTAGGTGGCAAGGACCATCTTAAGAGGCACTCACCCCTCACTCTCACGCAAGAAGGAATGCCTTTGCCAAGATGTATGTCTGCTGTGATATACAATATCTTTTTAAAAAGTATGCTTCCTTTCTTCAAAACTTCTGTTAATGATATGTAAATTTATGCTAATTTAAAATGAACTTAAACTTATTCAAGTAAGATTTCTCTGATCATGCAACAGCCTCATTTTTCTCATACTGAAACCCACATGTTACCCTCAGAGTATAGGTCAAGGAATTCAAGGAGTCACTGGCCAATGGGCCTGCAAGATCCCATTTAAGGTATAGCAGCGCTGTAAAAAATAATAATCATGAAGCAACACTGGGAACCCCTTCCCCGAGCATTCCCAGAACAGGTAGGTGCACTCTGGTCTGCCTGCTCCTAATTCCTGCAACTGAAAAAAAAACCCTTAGCTGGTGAAAAGAAACACACACATAACTTTTAAGAATTCTGGCCCTCCTATTATGGTTTCATTGTGACAACTCCCATGCTATTTTCCAAGCCACTACAAGTTGACTGCATTTGATATATATGAAGCTCCCGTATACTGGATCCGATCATGCTCTTTCTAGACCAGTATGTAGAACATAAGAAGCTGCCTTATACCAAATCAGACCCTTAAGTCCATCTAGTACTGGCTAGTAGCAGCTCTTCAGGGTTTCTGACAGGGCCTCTCCCAATCCTCCCTGGAGATGCCAGGAACTGAACCAAGGACCTTCTGCATGCAAAGCAAATCCTCTACTGCTGAGCTATGGTCCTTTCCCAATATTTTCCTGTATTCTCTAACTGGCAGTAGCTCTTAGGGGTCTCAAGACAGAGGACTGCAACCAAGCAATTGTTCCCAGCTAATTTGGATACTGTAATTTGTCCTTGAGAATATCTCAGCTGGTGCCTGGATCACTAGGAGTTCCTTCAGTATCAAAAGTTTGAAAACTAATGTACTTTAGAAAGGATACGGCATGCATGCAACCATGCACAAAATGTGGGCAAAATGTCTGACTTTCTGCATTGATAATTAAGTGAACAGGTAATTCAAGCTTTGTGGTTTCAGTTAAGCCTTTTCAAGATGTATAGTAAGAGTAAGAAGTACTATATGTAATAATTATTTAAATAATAGGGCATTTGCATAGACATTGATAAGATAATATGACATACTGTTTGCTGACTCCTACCAGGCTGAGCATCTGACAAGTCTGGGAAGGTGAGGCAGTAGATGGAAAGTTTTTAACTAACGAAGTAAATACATGACAATCAAAATTCATTTTTAAAAACACTCAAAAACACCTTCAAGGAGGTTGTCTATCCAAGTCACAAATACAGAGCTCTTACATTAATGCAGGCCTAACTGGAAGTCCTGCTAGGTGAACTGAGAACATGTTTACTTCTTTATAAATAAAAGGGATTTAAGCATTTTAAAAATGAAGGTTTTCCAGGATAAACCACCAAAGACCATTTGATTTTAGGCAGGAAATTATAAAATTTAAAAGATATCAAGATCCAATGGAATTAAGTGTCTGACATTTTCTGTTAAAATCAAGAGATCAGCTTTGTAACTGTAACACTCAGGTACACCAACATCTTTCATGATTACAAATGAGCTTTGCATCATAATAAAATGGAAAACATAAATACCACTCTCCTTTCCACTAACTAGAAAGCAGTTAGTTATTTTATCTCTCTCTCTATATATATATGTATGTGTGTGTGTTTGACTTATTTATTTTTAGCTACCTAGTCTCAATTAATCAAGGCCATAATTATAGGGTAACTTCAGAATGTAAATTACCAGAAAAAATGAGTGGGTGGTTGTTGTTGTTGTTAAGCATTCCCTAAGCAACATCCTCTGGAAATGACCATCCAAGTAGGATTGGAACCACTGCAAAGTGGTGCCACCCACCCGTAGTTCAGACAGTCACTCCAGCAGGATACCGTGGTCGAGGGTATAGAAAGCCGCTGAGAGAATTAACAGGGACACATTTCCCTTGTCTCTCTCTAGGCAGGGGCCATCATACTGAGAGACCAAATAAGTTTCTGTGCCAAAACTGGGCCTAAACCCCAGCTGAAACGGATCCAGAAAATCTGTTTCTTCCAAAAGTGCAGTGCCTGGATCTGGTCTGCAACCACTCACTCCAGAACTTTGCTCAAGAAAGGGAGATGAGCAACTGGCTGGTAGTTAGTTAGGTTTTCCAAATCCAGGGAAGGTTTCATAACAAGTGGTTTTACCACTGCCTCTTTTAAACAGGCAGGGATCACCCCCTCTTGAAAAGAGGCACTGATCACCTCTCTGGTCCAGCCAGCTGTTCCGTCCGTGCTGGTTTTTATCAGCCAAGAGTGGCAAGGATCTACAGCACAAGTGGTCGCCCTGACCAATCCAAGCACCTTGTCCACATCCTCGAGCCTTATCAACTGAAACTCATCCAACACAACAGGACTAGACTGTGCTCTGGGCACCCCATGAGATTCACCTGCTGTAACAGCACAGTCAAGTTCTTGGTGGGATGCAAGCGATTTTATCCTCAAAATGCTTTGCAAACAAGTCACAGCGAGATACAGTTAGTTCTACCACCTCCTTTGGGCCAGCCTGTAAAAGGCTCCATACAACCCAGAAAAGCTCTGCCGGACGACATAATGAGGATGCAATGGAGGCAGCAAAGTATGCCTTCTTTGCGGCCTTCACTGCCACTAGGTAGGCTCGATAATGAGCACTTACCAGAGTTCAGTTGCATTCATTCGGATCTTTCTTCCACTTGCATTCAATCTGTCTCCCAGCCCTAAGCTCTGGAGTATACCAGGGGGCCAAACGGGCTCCATGAAGTGGGAGAGGGTGCTCAGGGGCGATTGTGTCAATAGCCCAAGCCATTCGGGTGTTCCAGAGGTTGGCTAGGGCTTCGACAGAGGTGCCAGTCATATCAGCCAGAAAAACCTCTATATGAAATATCCTCTATAACCGGAAGAGTCAAGTTGTCTGGGTTCTGATCTAAATGTAGTATTTTCCACATTGTAAAAATCATGCATTAGTAAACAAGCAATGCTATTGCAGGAGTCTAAAGCGATTGCTTACCTAAGTTGTGTCGCTTTGCCTTTGCGTGCTCGTGGATGTGTTTCTTTGTAAAACAGCCAAAGAAAACACAGTACAGGCAAGAATGAAGTCTGTTCAGATGGGCACCACACATATGACAGATGCACGACTTTGCCTGAAATACAAAGATGATATTCATTACAAATAGCAAATACTTTATTGTGTAAGTTCATCCACTCTCTGATTAGGTTTGTAAGTACTAACATATGTGTGACATTTATTTCTACTTTCCAGTATTAAAGTGAGCCAGACTGATAGCTAGAACTGAATTCTCCATCCAAAAGGGATATGCAGACAGCTATTATGCATGTTTTTCCACTAATGAAACACTTTTATAAACCCATATCTCTGTTGGTCCATCCACATTTATTATGGCACAGATACAATCCAAAACAATACCTATCAGAACAGCTAGAGATTATTAGAAAGTGGTGCAACATCCTGTTAACCTTCTGCTAGCCAATCAGATGTCTTTAGTCAATTAAGATTTGCAAACTGCTAAAATGGATAGCTAAGCAGATAAAACTCATCAGATGAATAACTTGCTTATTTGTTTATTTATGCAGCTAAAGTTGCTGGAGAAATACTCTCTGATGCACTGAACTCTTATTATAAAGATGTGAGAAAAGACAGGAAAGACTTTTTTTGATAATATAAGGAGAGAGTTCCCGCCACTGTGCTGTAACACAACAAATTTTAGACTAGCAAAATGTCTCTTATATGTATGATGGGGACGAAGGATGTATTCACGTGCACAACAAACATATATTACACACACAGTTTGCCAGCGAAGGCCTGGCCACCTGCTGTCAGGGATGTTGATTTGTTTTAACCCTCACTGCAACTCCATCCCCAAGTATCCTTTTTATTTTAGTCCATTCATGGATGATGACCATTCATTCCTACTGAGAAAAGAAAGGGGTACATACAGAAAAATCACTGCAGTGGAGGTTAGACATGCTTTCTGTTTCTTTTGATCCCAGCACTCAATTCAGGATTAGTCTCCTCAGCTGTGTCACAGTCTGTTTACTTTGCCCCAGAGAAATGTGAGAGTTCCAATCTGCATCTCTTTCCCCCGAGTTTTACTTTCCGGATACGTTAAAATATTGGGAACTGGGTTTTGTTTTGTTTGTACTTATTATTCTATGTCTACCAAAAACCCTTTTGTCCCCATTCCATTTGCCAAGATTTGTACAGAAGTCAGAAGGTACCAATTTAAAATTGCATGCTGGTCTAGACACACAGACTTTAGGAAATGGTTAGGTATTAAATTCAGGTGGGAGGTTAACCATTTAAGCACTCCATTAAAAAACCAAAACCATTTAACCATTGCAGCCAACCAAGTTCTGTTCAATGCAGACTCATTTAAACTAATGGACCTAAGTTAGTAATGTCTGTTAATTCCAATGAGTCTACCCAGAGAAGAACTTAGCTGGATAAAACACTTTAAGTCCAACTTTGACTTAAGCATCGCATCCAAGCTGAGAGGTGAAAACAGATCCACTTACAACAGCTCCCAGGGTGGGAGGCTGGGAGAAGAAAGGGAAGTGACTGGGTGAGCTGGGAGAGTTCACCCCTTTCTGTGTGAGACAAGGGTTAAGATCTACCTTTGAGAGAGCACTTTGCCTTTTCTTCCCTCCCCTTTCTTTTTCATTTAGATTAATTTGTTTTTTATTGTACAGTGGTGCCTCGCAAGACGAAATTAATTCGTTCCGCAAGTCTCTTCGTCTTGCGGTTTTTTCGTCTTGCGATGCACGGTTTCCCATAGGAATGCATTGAAAATCAATTAATGCGTTCCTAGGGAAACCGCCTTCAGACCAGGTCCGGGGACAGTCTGTCCCCCGACCTCTTCTGAAGGCTGGGGGGGGGGACAAGGGCTTTTCTTCCCACTGCCAGCCTTCAGAAGGCTGTTCTGAAGGCTGGCGGTGGGAAGAAAAGCCCTTCTTCCCACCTCCCGCCCCGCAAGCTCCGGGGACAGGAGGGCTTTGCTGCCGACCGCCAGCATTTTAAAAGCCCCTGCTGTCCCGGGGCGATTTTAAAATGCTGGCGGGCGGGAGCGAAGTCTCCGCTGCCCCGAGGAGATTTTAAAATGCTGGGGGTCGGCAGCGAACGCTTCGCTCCCGCCCGCCAGCATTTTAAGATCGCCCGGGGCAGCGGAGAAGTCTCCGCTGTCCCGGGAAGGCAGGCGGGGGGAGCAAAGACTTTTGCCCCCGCCTGCCTTCAGAAGAGGTCCAGGACCTCATTCCGATGCCCGGCGGCGGGGTGAGAGGTTCCCGCCCCCCCGCCCCGCTTCGGGGCAGCGTTCCGAAGCGGGGCGGCTGGGGCAGGTGTTCCCGCCCCCCGCCCCCTTCGGAGCAGCGTTCCGAAGCGGGGCGGCTGGGGCAGGTGTTCCCGCCCCCCGCCCCGCTTCGGAGCAGCGTTCCGAAGCGGGGCGGCTGGGGCAGGTGTTCCCGCCCCCCGCCCCGCTTCGGAGCAGCGTTCCGAAGCGGGGCGGCTGGGGCAGGTGTTCCCGCCCCGCCCCGCTTCGGAGCAGCGTTCCGAAGCGGGGCGGCTGGGGCAGGTGTTCCCGCCCCCGCCGCCCTTCGGGCAGCGTTCCGAAGCGGGCGGCTGGGGCAGGTGTTCCCGCCCCCCGCCCCGCTTCGGAGCAGCGTTCCGAAGCCGGGCGGTGGGGCAGGTGTTCCCTCCCCCCGCCCGGCTTCGGAGCACCGGGAGAAGCGATCTCCCCGCCCCTTGCTTCAAAAGAGGTCCGGGGGCAGCGGGAAGTGCTTCCCGCTGTCCCCGGACCTCTTTTGAAGCAAGGGGCGGTGGGGAGAAGCGATCTCCCCGCAGCCCCTTGCTTCAAAAGAGGTCCGGGGGCAGCGGGAAGCGCTTCCCGCTGTCCCCGGACCTGGGGCTGCGGGGAGAAGATTGCTTCTCCCCGCCGCCCCTTGCTTCAAAAGAGAAGACCCGCTGTCCCCTGGGCAAGCTTCGTTTTGCGAAGCAAGCCCATAGGGAAATTCGTCTTGCGAGGCAACTCGAAAACGAAAAAACCTTTCGTTTTGCGAGTTTTTCGTCTCGCGAGGCGTTCGTCTTGCGGGGTACCACTGTATTATGAAAAAGCGTCAATATTTTTTAAATGGAAAACCGATCCTCTTACAAACCCAAAACCACCCATCTATTTTATGGATTATTTTTAAACATAGATACAATTCCAACACTTATTTACATAAAAGTTGCAAATTTCATAATGCATCAATACAGAGCTGTAATTCTTGGGTACAAATGGCTAAAATATGAGCAATCTCTCTGATGAAAGGCACTATGTCAACAACTCTTGACAATTTTGTTTCTAATTTGATTGTACCGAACACAATGAGGTAACAGAAAAGAACCTACTTTGTTACAGGCACTCAAGAATGACTAGCAGAAAGTGACATCATTTTGTTCCTGGGAGTCTTCAAAAGTAAAAAAAAAAAAAACATTTGAGAAGTAAGGACAGGAAAAGGAACTCCCAAGGAGGGTGGGCTAAGTAGGTATAGGCAGGAAGAAGTTGGGCTTATTCTAAAGAAATGTTACTAACCTGACATTTCTCAATGAACAATAGACCATTTCCATATTGAGAATGCCCAAGAATTAGAATGCCCACTCACATTAGAATGTTTGGGAACATTCTATGACATCACAGCAGACTAGTCAATGGCAAGTAAGAAGCCAACGTATTAGTAGAGAGGCAATAGCCATTCTGACCTCACATATATAAAAAAGCAAATTCTCAAACTTGCAGGCAAGTACTAAACAAATGTTTTTGTTCAAATTTCTATACTGCCCTTCATCCGAGGATCACAGGGTGGTTTGCAAAATAAAAACACAAAAATACATACCATTGTAACAAACAAAAACAATACTCCCCCCCCCCACATTTTAAAAAGCCATAGCTAGTTTAATTAGGCAAATGTTAGTTATGAGCCAATATGCACCAATGTGTCAGAAAGCAGCTTGAACGCTGGGTTAGAGAAACTGTCAGCTGCCTTGGATAACTATTTAACTGCCAAAATTATTCCGGGGAAAAGAGAAGGAAGGAATAGCACCCAGCGAAGCAAGAACTCCTGTTCAAATGAATGCTAGCCCCGCTGCCTAAATGCCAATACATGTGTTGACTTTGTCCCTGACTGGTGTGAGGCCAGCATCCTTTCAAGAAGACCTAACACAGATGCAGAGATTGCATCCCCATGAAGGTAGTTCTTCAGTCAACCACTGACTGCAGCTAAGAGGCAAGTAGGCAGCATGTTCTCAGAAGCCCTTTCATGTGTGTTTTGTTACCAAACACCCGAAAGAGCGCTAACAAATCTGTTCCTATTCTAATAAAAGAAAAAGCTCTTCTGATACCAAATACTGCAAGACTTACAATGATTTATTACTAGACAGACACTGAACTCAACTGTATTCTGTAATCTTAAACACGTTTAAGCTAGGAGTCCTACTGATAATGGTTTCTGGGTAAACAGGCTTAACAACAAGGTGCAGTTCTAATGATGCAATTCTTTTTCAAATCACGACTTTTTCAAAAGCTCAAGGAAGTTTGGGAAAAGATAGAACATGGCAACATCAAGGTGGCTTATGAATCATTAGCTGGGAGTGTTAAAAATATAGACGGCTGCTATTTATGACATTCAGCATTGCAACTCACAAAACTGAAGTTTAAAGAAATTATGCAAGCCTGTAACACAGCACTTGGGACTGAGATCTTAATTTTACCATCTGTTGACAAATAGCAATGTTGTTTACTGGTTTAACCATCTAGAGTAGGGGTGAGGGACCTTTTCCAAAGAGAGGGCCAAATTCCCTCATGGGCAACTTTCCAAGGGCCACATGCCAGGGATGGGCAGGCTCTGATGCAAAAGTGGGTGGGTGAGATACATGTCGGCATAGCAACAAATGTGATTCTTACCTTTGTACAACAGAGATCATTTCAGACTTGTGGAAGTGAGAGGTTTCTATACACACCAACCCACATCTCTTCACCCTCCATCCAGGCAAGGAAGCAGCAGCATCTCAGCCTGGCAAAAGCAGTGGAGGAAAGTGCAGAGCAGAAGGAGGTAGCGTAGCCTTGGAAGAGGGTGTAGCCTGGGGAAGTGTTTCAGGAGCTGAACAGAAGTTAGGAGGGCTGCATCTGGCCACTGGGCCTGAAGTTCCCCCACCATGATCTAAGAGAGTAGCGTATGATCAAAAACATTGCCTGGGAAATTTAAATACAGTGGTACCTCTGGATGCAAATGGGATCCGTTCCAGAGCCCTGTTCGCATCCTGAAGCGAACGCAATCCGCGTCTGCACGTGCTATGATTCACCGCTTCTGCGCATGATGTCATTTTGAGCGGAGCGTAACTTGAAAATGCTCAACCTGAAGCATATTTAACCCGAGGTATGACTGTATGCCAACTAGATGCCCTGGCACAATATTGCAGCCAGTGCTTATCAGACCTTGCTTTAAGTGTCATGTGAATTTCCCTGGTTAACCAAAGCTCCTTCAAGGAGTGGGAAATTGGGGAGAAGAAAGTTGTTGTTGTTGTTTGAATTTATATACCTCCCTATAGGGGGGGTCTCAGGGTGGTTCACAGAATAAAATCAAGATATAAAACCACAAAATACCTAATAAAAATAAAAACAGTAACCCAATACCCCCCCCAAAAAAAAAACATTTTAAAGAGGGATGGGTTGTAAATCAGATCAACCAAAGGTCTGGTTAAAAAGGAACGTTTTTGCCTGGCACCTAAAGGTGTATAATGAAGGTGCCAGGCGAACTTCCCTGGGGAAAGCATTCCACAGATGGGGAGCCACTGCAGAGAAGGCCCATTCTTGTGTTGCCACCATCCGAATCTCTTGAGGAGGGGGCACATGGAGGAGGGCCTCAGAAGATGATCTCAGGCAAAGGAATAAACTTTCACCAAATAACCGAGTTCTTCTGGCCCTTATTATGAAGTGGCACAACTGAACTGTGATCTAACCCACAACAAAATGACATGCAGAGCAATCCTATGCATATCTTTTTGGAAATAAGCCCACTGACTGAATGGGACTTACTCATAAGTGTACTTAGGATAGCAGCCTGAAAATTTGAATGATTATGATTTATTTCATTTATGAATACTTCCTATGAAGCATCTCAAAGCAGATTCACAATAATTCAAAATAAATTTTAAAAATTCCAACAGTACTTAACATACCTTACTAAACTTAAAGCTACTTTCCAAATACAATGTATTAATTGAAAGGAGGATCGGAATGTAAATGGCAAATTTACCTAATAAGAAAGTCATGAGGGCTTCTGATAGCCCTGTCATTATGCTTATTTTTTTCTGCTGGGATTTAGGTTGTACAGTATGTGATGCTACTACAGTATATAATCTCCACAAGTAGGACTCTTACATAAATATAAACACAAGAATATCAGGGAAATAATGGGGAGAAATAACAGAAAGGCAATACTAGGCAATAGACTTTGCCATACTCAGGTCTACCCAGATTCTGCAATTCTGTGAATGTATAGGAAAATTTACAGAATCTGAATGAAGAATTCACCAGCCTTCCTGAGAATACCACCTAATGGGAGGGCAAAGAACCAAGTTTATTTTTCATAGCTTTATATCATGAAAAGATCTCAGATTTCCAGCAATATGACTTCACTTTGATTGCTAATTTATACTAGAATTTGGTGTAGAAATTTTTATTGATTTTTTAGAGTACAGAATACAGGAAGTACCACTAATGTGAATTAAAGGGTAAGAAAATGCTGGGCTCTTAAATAATAAAAAATATTCACATAAAACCTAATGGTATTATCCTACAGTGAACAGCTGGATATAAGATTCCAGTGTATCCTACTAGAAGAACTCAACACTTTCCTTGACAGGAACGAAGCTGACAAAGTCTTTGCTGCATGGAGAAGATAGTGAAAGTAGACTGATGGACCTATGAGCTTATCTGAAGGTTTTCTACGTTAGCGATGATTAGAAGCTCTCTTTCCCATTTCATGTTGAATTTTAGTTCTACAGCAATAAGCTATACTAAAAAAAAAAGTACCAAAATACAGAAGACATATGAAGAAAATACATTTCATGTCTAGGTTCTCAACACTAAATGTAACCAAACTTCTAGCACAAAGGCACAGAATGGGGTAAAATGAGAAACGGAAACTTATGTTTACCAAAGCTTTACTGGACTGTACATTTAATTTTTAATTCTGTTTTGTACACTGCTTAGTTTTGTTTGTTATAATATACTTTTGTTTTAGTTTAGTTTTTAGGAAATTACTGCCCATTATTGTTGTATGCTTACGGTTTTTAAATGATATTTCATTATATTAAGCATTATAATTTTTCATAAATAAAGTTTCTTATATTGGTTTTCATCAACACAAATATAGCAAATTTACTTTAGAAGAGTAAATTTCAAAGGCTCAAATTTCCACAAAAAAAGTTCTCTAGTGTAGTGGTTCAATAAACCAATTCCTAATATAAACCAATCTGATTATGGGGGGAAAGATTTTTTTGTAATGTTTTGTAATAAGTTTAATAATAATGTTCAACCTTATGCTATTTTTAACCAGCTGTAAAATTATGAGTGTTTCTTAAGACTTTTTGGTTTCATTCTATTTACTAATAAAAACAATGAGAAAAATAATAAACCAACTCCTCTACGATGAAGAACCCTTGGCAATGTGTGAGCATATGTCTAAATAATGGCTGAACAGCTGCATCTCTGTATGAGGAACCTTCTTTCTTTATAAGCTAGGAGAAGATGAGAAATTGCAAATCTCTCTCTTTTCAGGAATACATATATACAATCATACACACACACACACACACACACACACACACACAGAGCCCTACTTATATTTCAGAATGCTGATTTCCCCGTTTTCTGCAATGCACCACTGCAGTAGCCAATTTCACATGAGAACAAGATGATTGCCAATACCGCAGTAGTGTGTTCTAAGATAGAGTATAAAAATCTATTACTTTACCTCATTCATTCCCCTGTGTCAGCAAATCGTGAAAATGTTTTTAAACATTCTATTAGGTAATGCATTGATCTAATCTTCAGGGACACGTGACTTGAGAAGTAATGCAGCAGGCAAGCTAAGCAGCCTAGCTAAGCAGCCCTGCCTACCTGACATTGTGCAGGGTGTCTTATTCAATGCTGCCCATGAAGCTAACATGTTATTTGCAAGGTAGGAACACACAGTGAATGAAATTTTATTCTTACCAGGGATTTGCGGGGGGGGGGGGGAGGAGAGAGAGAAAGGAATGTAAGTTTGGGGTAACCTGCCCTGATACTCTGATGAAAAACACTAGTTTCATTAACTACAAACCCCAAAATTTGGGATCCCCTCCAAACTGGTGCCAAAGTTTTGCAATTGTTTTGCAGTGTGAACCCCACAATTTCCAGTGTCCCGCAAACTTAGGAATTGATAACTATGACCCATGGTTTAGGTATCACCCAAAAACCTGACATTGTCTGATTCACTCCAAACCTGTCCCAAAGTTTTGAATTGTTTTCCAGTGAAAGCACCATGTGTTGCAGTGCCCCCCAGGAATTTGAATTTCCTACGGCTGCATTCACTCAGGGGGTTTCTCCCGTTAGTTTCAATGATTATAAAGCTAGCATTTCGGTTGCATTTTCTAATGTTCTTTTCTTGCCTTTTCAAGTTGAATCCAACATCTTATCACACATGATAACACATTTCAAGACATTATTTTAAGAGGAGATGATGGGAGTGTGCATGGGTGCCTAAAAAAACCAATAGTCTTGCAGGCAATTGGGCAACATTGGATTTGAAAAGACCAGAAAGGCCACAAAGAGAGTGGGTTACAGTTTTCGGGGTGCTGAAAAATGATTGCAAAACTTTGGTACCTGTTTGGAGTGAATCAGACAGTGTGGGAATCTGAGTGTTGTTAACTACAGTGGCATTAACTAGAACCCCCAGTTTGATGCATTACTGGGCTTTTTGTGGGGTGCTGCAAAATGGGGGGTTCAAAATGCAAAATGATTGAAAAACTTTGGCACCAGTTTGGAGTGAACCAGGTTTTTCAGTGATACCTATGACCAGGTATCCCCAGCCTGCGGCCCTTCCAGATGTTTTGGCCTACAACGTCCGTGATCCCTAGCTAACAGAACCAGTGGTCAGGGATGATGGGAACTGTAGTCCAAAACATATGGAGGGCCGAAGGTTGGGGTTGCCTGCCTATGACTCTCTGAGTATCAGTTGGGGCGGCGCTGAAAAACGATTGCAAAATTTTGCCAATGATTTGGAGGGGGTCCCAAATTACGGGCTTTGCAGTTAATGGAGCTGAAAATACTCTTAAGCACAATCTTTTCAGAAAAAGAAACTTAATGGAAATGTAGATCAAAGCTTTAGCAACTCAATGGTTCTTATGTAGGCAACTGTAGACCTCAGTTCCCTTCTGTTTTGTTTTAAGCACTGTAAGCTGTCCACAGAAAATGTGAACTTAATTAGTCCACATCAAAGTCACTTCATTCCTGCTAGCAGCGAAGATAGCTGCAATATAGATCCTCTACAACATGATTTATTTATGCAACATGAGGGAAAGTCAGAAAAAGGGGGGGTAATGTTAACTCCCTCAGAGTCAGATTCTTAAAAAAAATGTCCTGTGCAATTTAGGTTAAACTCAAGTATAAGACCACATCAGAGTCAATGCAATTCTGCAAGCAGGAAAACCACTGCAATACAGATCCTCCACATGATTTATTTATGCAGCATATAGTTTAGACTGGTCTAGGAGTTAATTGTTTCCCAATTTTCCAGTCCTTAAAGTTGTCAAATTATGCACAATTCTTACCAGTGGTCCGGTTCTCACGTCATGCTAAATCAAAACATTTTGTGTACTCCTGGAGAGACTCTAGCCACTTTGCTCCTCCTCAGTTATTCTGCTGCTGTGCTGCACTGAGCTAAGCCCTAATTTAGCTTAGCACAGGGGTTTGGAATTTCTAGCCAATCTTGGCTCACCAAGGGACTAATTGGACCTACAATACCATTTCCCCCAAATCACACCCACCCGTCAATCAGTTGATATCAGTTGATGAGCAGGGTCCAATTCTGCTACATGCTGCTTTGCCAGCATGTTCCCTGTGGGGAATGCCCTGGCAAAGTAGACTCCTCCAAAAAACAGGATTGAATCCTCCATTCATCAGCTGATCAGTACATTAGAGAATGAGTGTTTCCAGGATGGACCTACAGTCATATAAGATACATGCCACTCATTGGTACCCTGGACAATGCAATACTTAATCCTTTAAAAATCTTTTCTAAGGAACGCCTGCAAGATGTGAAATCTATAAATGTATGAAGCGAAGGAGTTTTGGAGACTAAAAACACTATCAGCAGCTTCATTTAATGCATTTATTGTTAGAAGGTCTGCACTAAGCGGGGTTCTCATGGAGTTTCCATGAGAAAAATTAAAACACTGGCAAAAACTAGCCAAAACAACAAAAGGTTAAATATTTTATGTTTAGCATCACTTCATACCCTGCTGGTATTATCTCCACATTTTCCTATCTACTAG